CCCAGCTGCCTCTGGACCTGCAGGCAGCACGGCAGTGGTGGTCTGGAGCAGGGCAGGTCAAATATTTACCCCACTGCTGGCCCAGGTTGGTTTTGCAGCTCGTATTGCTGCAGTTCTGGTGCTGCTGGGAGAGATGGAGGCAATCTCTGCATTGTCACAGCAGTGGCAGCCTGAAATGGCACCAGGTGATGTGGAGGAGGTGGACTTCGGGGACAAAGCCCCCTGATCCAGGCCGTGGCAGTGCTCAGGAGGCATTCACAGTAGGCAGCTTCAGGGGAAGAAGGAAGATGAACATCTTCAGGTGAGACAAAGCCTGTTCTGATGTTTCCACTATCTGGAGTCTTTTCTTGCCTCTCATGAATTATTCTTGATGGACAAAGCATCTGTGGTTCAAAGATACCCACAGAACAACACCATATTTTGTTATATGATAGTCACCAAGGCAAGTGGCGGCTCAGAGCCCATTTTTACTGAAAGAGGAGCTAAAGTGACATCAGGAAACAAGCTCGATTGTTATGACTTACCCGATCACAACAGTTTTACCAGTCTGTTGAAGGGTTGCAAACGGTGTTGTCCAGGTAGCTTGGATACTACTCTTATTAGCATCTTATAATTAGTCATGGCCCTAGAGAGTGCATCCTGGAAAGGGACACAGAATTACATACTTCTGGAGGAGGCCAAGCATCCTAGGGGAGTTTGCGAGCTATTTCCCATTCAAAATTTAGCAGAGAAGAAGTGGGAAGACATAGAATTCATTTCTTACTGGAAGCTGCTCTTAGGACATCAGTTGAGAGAGCCTCTTGCTGTAAAGAGGAGGGAATACATCGTGTGTTTTACAAACTGTTCTTCTGTTTATACATCCCATATTGGCATTCAATATGCCAATAGTGTAACTCATGACAGGTGCAACCAATAGGTCTTTTGTTGAAAAACTGCTGTGTAAGCCATTTGTTTGCCATGTATTTGGACAGTTACTCTTTCCTAAATGTCAGATGTTCCATACTGAACTGATCTCTGATTTATCTAGATCATTTTGAATTTTAACCTAGTGCTTTGGGATGCTCGCAGCCACTCCAGCTCAGGAACATCTGGGAATTTAATAAGCACATTCTCTGTTACAACACATAAGTTATTGATGAAAGAACAGTGAATAATAATGTTGAACCAAGGACTGGAATCTGTCACAGAAGGAAAACAGACTCATCTGAAATGATTCATTCTTGGCAATGGCCAGGGTTATTACTCATCTCTTTCTTCGATTAAATATCCCACTGTTTTTCTGTGATTTGAAGTTGACTGGTTTATAGTTCCTTAGTTTCCTCCTTTTACCCTGCTAATGATAAGAGATCCTATTGCCTTGTTTCTGTGACTCCATTACCCTCCACCACTTCCCAAAGATACCGGCTGTTTGGAGATGGTTTCAATCAGTTGCTGAGATAAAGGGATTTTTTTCAGGCAAAAAGTCTGAAAATACTGGAGTGATTGAAATATACTTTAATCCACACTTTTTAGGATCCTCCCACCTTCTCCACTGGCTGTTTTGCCAGTGGGAAAAGGAAAAGTGATCTTAGAAGACAGAAAATAGAGTCACCCTTCACTAAAATGCTGGTTTTGATGAAGGACTTTAAATAGTTTCTCTCCTTCTTTTCCTAAAAGCAGAGACTGCTCCCAGCGGAGCTGCCACAAGCACAGCTGTACAAGCCCCTCCAGATAGGACAGGGCTGATAAAAACAAACCTTCACAGAACTTAAAACATTGTCTGCTCTCCTTTGCCATCATAAGAAGTTCAACATTGCAAGCAACATCTTAGAAAAACTTTTTGCTGCTCCCCCTCAAAGCTGACCTGTGAGGAACCCACATCTCATTCTGTGAGCCCTCATGACTGAAAAGGCACTAAGCATCACAAATCCCCTGTCCTTGGAGATGTTCACAAAAGAATCCAGGTCTTGGATTTTATATCTGAGACTAGAAGGAGCAGGTCTGTGGTAACACGACATTGGCCACTGATGCCTTCTCAGTGCTGTATTGGAGCCATTCATCAACTAAACAGCAGAAACTTTCCACGCCTTCTTCGCACTGGTTTTCCACCTTCTTTTTGTGGCTCAATATGTCTTTTTTGATAGATATAGCCAGATTTTCACTGCAACTGTACCACTAGCAATCCTTTTTAATGAGATTACAATATTTTTCAGTTGGGCCTGCTTGATATTGACCACTGGGGATTGATCAGATTTTCACTACAGAGATGGAAAATTAATAGAAAAGCAAAAAATGTCTTCCTGATGGTTGCCCTGTCTTCCTACCACACACCACCCACCTGAGAAGATCTGAATTTGCCTAGGGATGGTGAAACTGAGAACATAGGAAACGCTCTGCTGGTAACATCATTGGTTCCTCTCTCCCAGTGTTGTTTTCAGCAACAGATGCCATCTGGGGAGAGCACGTAAGCCCATTCATTTTTGATTGTGCTCCTCCAGCGTCCACAGCAGTAACAGCATTTTCAGAGGGTACATTCCCGCCTGTTGCCTTCAGCATCTGTCTGTTGACCTGCTGCTCATGAATTTGCTATACCTTTTCTAAACCTGCTGATCCTATTTGTTTCCACAACCTCCTGTGTCAGCAAGTTCCAGAAGTTCATTCTCCCCCATAAAAGGTATAAAGTCTTTTTTATCCATTTTAAACCAATCTACCAGACTCATCGATAGCCTCTAGTTCTAGTTACGCAGGATCTGATGAGCACCAGGTCCACATTCACTTTATAATTTTGTAGAGTTGGCCCTT